GGGTAAAAAAATTAAAACCAAAAAAAACTTAAAAAAAAAAAAAAAAAAAAAAAAAAAAGATTTAGTACATCCTGAAGGTAAGGAATATAAATCAAGAGAACTAACAACCCCTCCCTTGCACCCACTCTTCTTCCTCATCAGAAGTTCAGGTTGGTTAGAAGAGTTACCAAATCATAAGTGTAAGTGATGGCCTTCTTGTTATTGCTCTGATAGGCAAGACGAAGAGCATCATGCAAAATTAGCTCAGCTTCTTCTGGCTCATCTTTCATAATGCTCAACTGAAAAGAGAAGACAAAGAAAATGATAAAACATTTAAATAAAAAGAATATGGATGCATGTGCTACCAGGCAAAAGTGGATATGAGTTTACATCCCAATACATAGACAGAAACCATTCATTCATTCATCAGATATTTACTGAATTCCTTCTGTGCACCAGGTATTATGTCTACAGAGGTGACAGGGAGGTCTACTTCCCTTACAGCTAGGTGTGGCCATATGATGAAGTTTTGGCCAATGGATGCAGGCAGAAGGAATGTGAGCAATCTTTACATCATATTTTATAAAGAAGCTACTTGCCCTCCATCCTCTCTTTCTTCCTGCAGGCTGGAGGTGACCATGTAGGACAAGTAAGCTCAATTACAGCGAATAATAAGAGCTATGAAGATGATCAATGGAAAGGAGTGAAGGGGTCTCCTTTAAATGGGAGTCAGGGAAGCCTTCCATGGAAGTGACAGTTAAACTGAGGTGGGAAGGATGAGATGAGTCAACCAAATAAGAAATTGGGGGGAGGAATGACCCAGAGTAGAGGACGAGTGAAGCCCTACAGGCTGAGCAGAATGGCTCCTCAGAAGAAATGCAAGGAGACAGATGTGAAAGGAGCATGGTGAGCCAGGGAATGATTGCCAAATGGGTGGGCTGGTTTCGATCATTCAAGGCCATGGCAAGGAGCTTGGATTTTATCATAAATGGAGTGGGAAGTCATTCAAAGTTTTCATGCAAGGCGGTGATATGATCCACATTTAAAAAAAAAAAAAATCACTCTGGTTGCTGCATGGAGCATGGATTGTAAGGGGCAGGCAGGGGTAGTGATGGTTTGCACTAGGATGATGACAGAAGCAGAGATAGTGAAAAGGGTGCAGATCTGAGAAATATTTTGGATTTGGTAGCAAAAGTAATTGGAACTGGACTGTAAAGTGTATTGGGAGGCAAAAGTAAGGTACAAGTTTTAAGAATGATTATGAGGTTTCTAGGCAGAGAAACTGATGGAGAAAAATGATGAAAGAATGTGTTGGGGAGGCACTTAATTAAGATCAAGAGTTTAGTTTTGGGCATGCTAAGTCTCAGGGAGAGGTGAGGCCTCCAAGTGGATATGGCACATCACTAGCGTACTGCAGTCTCGAAATACAAATTTGGATGTTGTTGGCTTCGAGTCAGTATTTAGCCCAGTGGAAGAGATGAGATAACCTGGGGAGGAGAGGAGGAGAAGAGAAAATAAAAAAGGATGTGGAGAAAAGAATTTAGAAAGAAAAGAACCAAATCGCATAACCAACACTAAATTGTATTTTCAGGGCGCTACATATGTGCAAAACTATGCCATTTCAGCTTAGCTGGTCACTACAAAACTGTCGTTATTCTGTCTGGATAAAAGAGCGATGCCCGGGATGCCATCCTCATCTGCACGTGAGACTGCAGCGGTTTTACTGCAGGCTTTAGAGTCGGACCGGCCTGGATGCACTCCAGCCGCCCCGATGGCCCGTCCAGTGCTGGGCAACTGCACCCTGGGAGCCTCCGTCCACATGGACAGAGCAGTGCGCACAGACCAGGCCGCCGCGCTCGGCCGGGGCCGCCTCACCTTGGCTCGCTTCAGCAGCCGGATGATCTCGGCCTCCGCCGCGTCCTCGGCGGCGGCCGCTCCCTGCTGCTCCTCCTCCTCCTCCGCCGCCG